TTCTGAAGATTGCCTTTTCTCAGTTGCGGCAATTTAGTCCTGCTACTGTTGTCATTCTCTCAGTATAAATGTAGCTTAGGAAAAAATTTGTTCCGGTGATAGTTCTTTTTCTCTTAATCCGAATTATTACTGCATTGTATTTAGCAAGAACACTCAACAAACTTTAATGTCGTGCAAGGATATGCTTCCCTTGGATATATGTATCCTTCAAGAGCTTGTCTTAAAAGAGCTTGGAAGTAGAATTCAAGACTGTTTTACGAACATACTTTAATTTTGATTTTTCATGTGAATATATACAATAGAAATATAGAATTGTAGATGTTGTCTGGATACCTCTCCAGGATTCATGTAGCAGTGGAACATGGACTTGTCTTTTACTGTCATAATTTTAGACCACGGGAAGGTGGCATTTGCTTGAAATGTTGCAGCTGTGGAATTCCTGAGGGAAGTTCTGTGGAACAGAGATCCTGAGCCAACAATTTAATCTGTAAAACGCTATGTTTCTAGTCTTGTCTTTGAAGTAGTAAACTCATGATAAACTCATTATTTGGGGATGCTTTGTTATCTTTTTCCTGTAAATGATGGATGATTCTAAGGTCACTGAAAACTTCGCAAGGTCAAATTGCAGATGAAGTAACAAACCAGAACTGAAAACTAAAAGTGAACTGCAGTTCAATAACAGAGATGCTATATTAGTTCACTTTTAGTCTTCTCTTAATTATTAACAAACTGGTAAGGGACTGCAATGCGTATTTTATTTAAGTGTGCAAATAATAGTATGTTGGCATTGTAGCATGAAAAGACATTTATTCAACAAAAAAAATACTGGCTTGACAGGAAAAGGATAATACAGTTTTGACTTCCTCTGGTGGCTGTAGTTAAATATTGCCAATCAGATAAATAGTACAGTAATATTAACTTAATTTGAAAATGGAATTTGACAGTACGAGGGGAAACAAATGGAATGTGTTGCAGAGACTGAGAAATTGAATCAGTTGAGGCTGGTACGAGGTTGTCAGACCTCAGCAGATGTGCAAGATGATTTGTTTTGATATTTCTAACAGGCTTTGGTAAGACTGTCATTCATTATCCAGTTGTATTTTTCTAATAACAGTGTCTGTTCTACTGTCTTAAAGAACACACTTCTCTTAAGGTATTTTTTTCCATTTCAGAGGTGCAGATTGGTAACAGCTCTTGCTTACGTCATTAAAACTACATCTGATGCATCCAGGATGCATTTATGAATATTAAAATGGCTGTTTCTTGGGACACCAAAGATAAGTATAGCTAATGTCCTGCCTCCAACACTGGCTAATAGTGCCTGCTGTAACAGTAAGAGCAAAGATTAGGGCAAGAAGGTAGTAATGCTTCCCCAGAATGCTTCCCCAGCCTGCAACAACGTGAAACTTCGGAGCCAGATGTTGTATCTGTATTTTTCTTACAAAAATCTTTTATTTCCTTTTTGTAAATAGGTAAACTCTTAGTTTCAACAACATCACAGTGTAATCACGAGTTGGGTTCTGTGCTGCTTTTTCTTTTAAAATCACTGCTCACTATTTTCATTTGACGTTTAATCATTCTCTGCCATCTCCAAGCCACTTGATGTTTAAGACTATGATTATCTACTAGATCATGTATTCCAGGCTGAAAAGGTCCGATCTGTTTTGTTGTTTGTTTAATCTATATACTTGACCAGTCTCCCCCCCACGCCTTTATTGCATTCAAGTCAAATACAAGTATAATTTTCTAGGATACAGCAGACTTACAGCTCACATCCTGGGTAGTCGATCTGCATTTATTCAGTGGGCACTTGTTGGGGATTTCCAATCCTCCAGCATTTGTCTAAAATTGCTCGTCCTTTCTGCCTAGGAATATTTTTAATGGAGCTACTGTCCCACTTGATTTGCTGTAGGTCTGGAAATTCTAGACAAGTTCAAAATGTTCAGATTCTGCCTGGATGTGTTACCAGGCAGCTTGGAATAAGATGCCCCATCCAGTATTGATGGGGTAGTTCTGTCAGTGTGTATGGCCACTGCCTACGCTCTATCTGTTCTCTGGTGTTTTATGAGTTACCCCACCTAAGGCTTCTTCTACTGACCAAAGGATCTTTACCAACACTCCTGAAAAATGGTTAGTGTGCTGAAAGCAATGCTTTCGGTTTCTCAAAATATTCAGTAGGCTGCACCAACCAAAAATTGACTTAGAACCTGGCAGTGTTCTGGCACGCTGCTGCCGGAAAGTCCAGGAGGCTTCTTCATGGATCTCAGTGAGCCACTCACCACTCCAGGCTGGTTGTCCGCCAGCAAGTGAGAGTACAGGACAGGATAACAAAGCTTCTCCCAAGTGGAGTGAGTGCCTGGAAGATGATGTGTTTGCTGCTGCTGAAGATTGGGCGTTAACTCCAGACACAGACCTTCCAAAGCTCTGTCTTTTGCAAAACATGGTAACTTCTGCTGGTCATCCAAGCTGCAGTTACTGTGTTTTCAGATAGAGCTTTTGAAGATTTCTGTCCGGAGTTAATAACCAGTCCTCAGCCTCAACACCCAGTCCCACCTGTTGATGCTGCTTCCTCCAGCTCAAAGCCTCTCCTTCATGCAGGAAAATCAATCAGAGCTGCAGCTGAAGCTGGCCCCCATTTACATCGTGGGGTCCTGCGGGTGGGTGGGAGTTCCTCGGGGCTGTCCTACAGCAACTCCAGCTCTTGCTGGGCAGCTGTGTCTGCAAGCGTGTGCTGGTCTCATCCCATGCTTTTCTGAAGAGTAACCCCAGCCCGCTGCTGGCTCTCTGCAGGGCAGGCAAGAGAAGCTCTAAAGCAGGACCTAACAGGCAGCATGGTCTCAACAGAAAGGTGAAGATTAGCAAGGAAGAACGTACAGAGTGTTCCTTTTATGTAACGGATCCGTAAATGGTGACAGCATCTGTGTAAGGGAAATGGCTCCTCAGTGTAGGGGGTGTGTGTTAGGGAGCCCTGTGCTGTGCGGGGATTGCGTGGTGACCACCGCTTTCGTAGGAGATGGAGCTGGTTCCCTCAGCACATCCCTGCAGATTCCAGTAATCCCCAATGAAGGCCTGGGCAGTTGAGCAGTAGCCAGGTTGGGTTGTGTCATAGCACAGATTAAAATGGCGGCAGGGATGCACACAGAGGTATCTTGAGAAAAAGCCCTGTTCAGGACTCAAACGTGAGGGCAGAACTCCGAATGTTGGGAGGGAACCCAGCTGAGCATTGGTGGAGACTAGAGCTTCTTGCAAGGAAGAAGTTGAGGCTTAATGTACAGTAATTTGGCCATTGTAGGGAATATGTCATCACCGACCTGTTAAGTGATCTTGGAGGCTTTTCTGTTTGTTTGTTCTACAGATTGAATAATGATGAAGCTGGACCATAAATAATTTTAGGATTAGGAGAGAAGCGAAAGACCGTTAAAAAGTCTGTAGTTTAATTCCATATATTGGGAAGTGAAGATGTGGAGATGATGAGTGATTGAAATGTAAAATCTGAATTTTCAAGTGTCACACCAGGGTTTACAATTTCAACTCGTTCTTGTAATTCCATATATTATAGGATGCTCTCTCCTTGTGTAAATTTAATTAATAGAGCCACTTTTTAGTTTGTAAATGGAGATTTAAAAAAATCCTCCATTCCTAATTTGCTAGATTTACAATTTATTACACTATCACTTTGTTTGACAGTACATTGTACTAAGAGGAAAGTCTGACACACATGTTAACACTCTTACAACTGTCTGACCTTACCTCCTCCCCCAAGAGTAGCGTAGAAAAGCTCAAGAATCGTGGATTCTGCCTTTGCCTTGTCTCTGGGGAAACTATGGCAGTTTTGGTTAGAGAGAAGGTACCCAAAGCATAATTATTCTGAAACATAGTGAGGCCAAACAGCTAATCCTTGAGCCAACTAAAAAATGCTGGCATAGCAAGACAAGTACTGACAAAGTCTCTGAGCGTACACCGTTTTTGCCAACAAAAGGGTAACCAGAACAGATTGTACTGGTTCTCGGAATGAAATAAACTGTACTGACAAAGCAGTTTTTGCTAGTGGAATAACAGTGTTGGAATAAATGTGTCTACGTTGTACATAACATAAAGATGCTTATGAAAAGTAGTAACTTAAGTCTTCCTGGACATCAATTTAAAAGAAGTATCAAGATAGCAGGGTACACGTCCAAGCCCCGCTAGATGGGAATCAGCAGTAGGTCAGTTACATCAAAATCACAGATTCTAGCGCAACAAGCTGTAGAAATAAGTGTTGAACTTTGTGGTGAAGACAAAAAGGTAGCACACAAAGTGTGGTTTAATGTGTCACTAAATTACATCATAGTTTTTAATCAAGGCTGACGTTTTTTCTGACAGACAAAAAGGCACTTTTCTGATTACAGGGAGGGAAGTCCGATAATAACAGAATAACAGGACCCTAGAAAATATCACGACTCTCATTTAGAACTTGTCTTGACAGGGGGTTATACTGGAAATGCGTTAGGTCAATTTGGCATACGGCATTTATAGCAGACTAAGCATGCCCCATGGAGCTAATAAGCAATAATCTTTGCATTTTAAATAACTTTGTGCTTAAATTCAAACATTGTGTTTCAAAGCCTCCGGGTTATTTTGGCGCTGTATTATTTCACCACATAATCAATCCTATTTTCATTTTATCAAGACTGTAACGTAAAAAATAGTGAGTAACTAACTGCAGTGCTCTTAATGTTCTTAACCTGTGTTACTTAACTTGATTTAAAATTTATAATCTGTTGTTCAGCTTCAAGGTTTTATTTAAAAGTCTCTCAAAACACAAAAGGATTTCCTCTTAGTTTCCAGTTGCATTGACTCATTCTTGTTGGTAAGATAGTTATAAATAGTTTTCTTTTGAGCCTTGATGTATTTCTTTGTTCGGTCAGATGTTTGTCGACATGTTTCTGACAGTTCTTTTTTTATCTCTTGATTTTTTTAATTTTTATTTTATGTTTGTCAAGGCTTAGCACTGTTCATTATTAGGCTGAACTGATTTCTTCTTCATCTTCCTCAGAGTCGGCATCATCATTGTAGAAGTGAATTGTAGCTTGTACCGGAAAACTCGCCAGAACCTTCTCTCCGATGTTATTAAGAAACTTCTGGGATTTGGACTTGGGCAAATAAAGTCTAATAAGAAAACATATTTTAAGAGACAAAGTAAAACTATGAGATGCTTTCCTAGCTAAGCTAGCTTGAGTATTAAAACCTATTTTTATCTTTCTTTGGAGTCAGAAAAATCCCAGGGTTCCTTGTCTTTTAACAGAAAAGTTGCTAACTAAAAGGTACTGTTGATTTTAAGTTACCTCGGTTGCTTTGGGTGTATTGTGGGTTGGATTTATCTAAGGTCTCACCCTGATAAAGAGTTGCCAGGGTGATGATGCGTGCTTGAGATGGTTTGGGTTGGGTTTTAGCACAGTTCAGAATGGAGATGTCCCATGCGACTGAGGGAAGTTTGAGGAATGTTCTGGGATTATGGAATTAAGACATCAGGTTAAGATTGGGGTGGGTTGCCTGTTGCGTGGAGGTAGACCTGAGTGGATTTTGTGTCTCTAGGTGGAGGACGAGGTGTAAGCTGAGAGAGGTTTGTTTCAAAATTCATATTGTTTTGTATTGAAATCTTAAATATCTTAAATTACATTTCAGGTTTTCACCAGCTTTCCCACTAAAGCAAAACTTATGTGGTCTGTATACATATGTGGTGTTGTGTGCGTATGTATGTACATGTACATCTCTGCCTCTTGGTTCCACTTTGGCGAGTTTTCAATTAAATTTGATGGTGATAAAGGTCACACAGAATTTAAGGTTCCACAACTTTTATAAAAACAAATGCTCTAAAGAAGAGGGATATTCCATTAATTTTCCTCCTCTAAGCAAAAGTCCAAATCAGGAACTTCTACATCATTCAGCCTTAAAGAATCCAAATATTGGTGAAAACCCTTAGAAATGCCCCAAGCATAGGAAAAGCTTTACCTGGAGTTCAACTTCTATTCAAAAGCAAATTTAAGCAACCTCAAGACACAGACCTGTAACAAGTCACGTTCCATTAGCAGCTGTTCACGTTAATTATTTGGGCTTTGTGGGCTTGTCATCATGTTAATAAATATAAATTACACAAGGCAGAATAACATTGTTTCTTTTAAGACTACTTTTCTCTTATTTTCATTATTAGGATATTGGTTTAGGTTCTGTTCAGCCTGGGCATCTTTCCTTGTGGAGGGATAAAAATCCTATGGGGTTTGGTGAGTAATTAAACTGCATTGCTAAAAAGAGATACTCCGGAGACAAACTGATATTTCTCCTGAGAAGGAATATGCTTTGTCTTGGAAGGTGTCACTTTTCCTGTATCAAGTGATAGGATTTAACTCACCTCACTGGATGTTGAAACCCCAGGGCTCCTTTTGATCTCAAATTTTTTGCTTGACCATCCAGTCCTGACTGTAAAGAGACATGTTTATTATTTAGAATAGGCTAAAAATGAAGATTTCAACTCTTTTCTTCTATAGGTAACTGTAAAATTCTACAGTAATGTTGCTTTGTTTGCTGTGCTGCCTGTTGTTTTCCTCTGACCAAGTGTACTTCAGAGAATCTATGTGCCCACGGGCTGCCAATAGTTGCACATTTAACAAAGCGTTTGAGCTTGTACATTTTATGAGCCGTAAAGCCAAGAAATTGTACATTTTGCTTATGTGCTTATGGAATATCTATAGCGACTGGTGAGCTAATCACACCACTAAATCAAAGTTCAGTGATTGGAAGAAGAAAGGATTTATCAATCGGTTTAAAGGACTAGGAGGTTAGGGTTTCATAAAATACCTCTTTAGCTACACTAACCAGTAGTTTGGAGTTGGAATGTTCAAGTCCGTAAGCTTAATTGTAATCAAAGATCACACAAGCACGTTAGAAGTCCAAGCAGTAAGATCAAGAGACAACTGGCATCTCGTATTTCTATACAAATGGCGATAAAAAAGCAAGCGTTTTTGATACAATATATTTTTGCTACCTACTCTGTTGTAAATATCAAAGTTAAATTTAGCACAGAATAAATTCCTTCAAATAAGGTCACACTAAAAAACAATAGTTTGCAAATGTTAACGTTACTAAATCCTATTAGGATTATAAATAAACCTGAAATCAGCTCCAAAATCACTGAGCCCTATCATTTAATCTCGTAGGTATGTATTCTCTTCCATACCGTAAAACAAGAAGACTTCTTTTTTCCTCCTATTGCTAAAAACTTCATGTTGCATAAGATAGGTTTAGCTTTGCTGTACTAGAACTTCGAGTGAAGAGAATCTGGAAACCATCCACTCTGCTACAGACAGACACGGACGGCTTTTGCCGCTGTCAGAGCAATTCATCTGTCTTTCTGAGGAAGCAGGCGTCAGCGTGGATATTTTGGTGGGCCCCAAAAAGCCCTTGGGCTACGGACCGAGCAAGGGGTCCTATAGAACTCTCTCTGTACCGTCTATGTTGGCCTGTTTCTCTCACCCCCACCTGTTCGTCCTGTAGCCAAAATGGTTTGTCTTCAGGCCGTTAGGGTTTTGTTGAGGGTTTTTTGTGTTTAATCAGGAGACTCGTGTACTTTGTTTCCACAGTACCTAGCAAAATGGACTCCTGATCTGGCTGAACATTTTAGATATGATCATAATATCTGCTTTAAATACCAGATGGTACTGTTCTCCTTTCATATTTACATTAAAATTAAAATAATCTTTTTTATCTTTATTGACCTGTACTTTCTACTGTCTTTGGAATACATACTATTTTTTAGTAATTATATATGTAATAATACATCTTGATTAAATGCACATTATATTCTTTTTCTTTTTAGACTATACTACAGCATTTCTGAAAAGCAATTCTGATAAAAGCCAATTAATTGCAAAATCTAGCTCAGTTTGTACATAGCAGAAAATGTTCAGTGTTAATTTGTATTACGTCACAGATATGACAATAGGAACTTTAAATTACTTTTCATGGCTTTTCTTTGGGCATAAATGTCAGGACACATTTGAATTTAGGTAGTAGGAAAAGTTACTTTTTATATAAGGAAAAGTATATTATGTATAGGTAACTATTGGGTATATTGTAACACATGTTCTTGGCGATAGAGGTAAAATTATTAATTTTTTTTACCAGTACTTTATTTTTTAGTGCTTTGTCCTGCATCTTTCAGTTTCTCAGGTTAGATTCTTATATGTATATTCCTAAACATTTTTTCTTAATTACAGAGAGGATATTGAAACTTTTATTTGCTTCACTCTCCAGTGTTTGAAGTGTCTACTGCTCTGTAAAGCATTGGCGTTTGTATGTATACATTGCAGAAAATAAAAGTAGCCAGCGTGCAACTAACTAGCAAAAACCTTGAGCTCAGTCCTTCTTTGAAGACTTCTGCTAGAACCCTCAGCGCGTTTGCTGAAGAAGATACCTTCGCCTTCCACAGCTGTGGGATGCAGGTACACAGGACTGAGCACCTCTTCCCACCTACGCACCACACCAAGTATCCAAGCATCTTTCCTCAGTTGTTGTGTTAAAAAGGACATGAAAGGGCTCCTAAAGCCCTCCTTCAGCCTGCCTTAGCTCCCAAGCTACAGAGGCACCTAGCATGCTGAAGCAGCCGTAAGGTACGGAGGAGAAGGATCTGAGAAGCTTCTGGCAAGAAGGAGAAATGTTAAAAAATTGTAACTAACTGTTTCAGTTATACTTGGCTTGAAACAATGCCAGGCTGTTAGCATGAATGTGGGAAACTTCATTATGTGGTTTGGTTTTCTTACCCAAGCGGGCAGAAGCCCAGGTGTGAATTAAAACTTCTGAGCTGGTTGAATAAAATGTTCTACAAAAACATAACCTTAGTAATAAGTCACAACTTCCTGATTTCAGAAACCTTAAGCTTCATGTACTCTCATGAGAGGAAGACTCCTCTCATCCTTAGCAAATTTACAGGTGCCTGTGGCAAAGCTTGGCCCACTGCTGGGCAGGACGTTCTTCCGCAGGCTTTCCCAAGGTGCCTGCCTCAGATCGGTGCAGTTACCGCCACTGTCAGCAGCAGACAAAAAGTGCAAGGTAAAAAGGTGTTGCACGTGTTCGAATATAGTAGAAATTGTGAATCTCTAAAGACTTGCACTAAGGGGAGTTGTTGTCTCAACCTGCTGAGCCTTTGGGAAAAAGTTAAAGATGTAACTGTGGATTGGATGCTGCAAAAACTTAAGCAGGTGCTTAAACCTAAGCATGGGAGTAGCACCATTTCAATACATTTTTTTAAAGTTTGCAGCTTTGGGACCTATGTTGGATGTGCTTCAGTCTGTCTTTATTTTTGTTCTTTAAGCCTAACAAATCTTCCTCCATGAGTAAGTAAAACTAATAATCATGGTGCCTTTCAAAGGCACTTGGCAGTCAGAGCTACTTTAAAATCCAATTTTCTGTTTGATTTCTGAGCTGGTTCAGCTATAGCAACATCTCTCCCAAAAAATTATCAGTAAAATTGTGCACCTAAAAGTATTTTGTCTTAAAGTTCATCTTAAAGTAATTTTCACTCAAACTCCCCCTATACACACAATATCACATACAGACTAGGCCTGGAAATTTCAAACCAAGGATATTCTTATTTGTATAATTAAGCAAATAAAACTGCTGTTAAAATAAGGGTTGTTTTCAATAAGCAGTGCTTTCTGCAGCTCTTTAAGAACCGATAACAATTCTATATCTGATACAAAACTAGAGATACTCTTCACCATTATCATGTACAGACCACTGTAATTTGAACCGTATTTTCTAACACTGAAGACAAAGGAATAGATGACCAAGCCTCACTTCCTGTGTTCAAATCATTTCAATTTCTGCACCGCTTTTCTATAAGGATTATTTTCTCCAGAATTAAGCCTCACCGTTTGCTGATTCTCTGTCATCTCACTGTCTCTTGCTGTGAGCGTCCAGGGCCTCCATAAAGCCGGGCTGCTGAAAGACGAAGATAGAACAATGCTCCCACAGTTAATTCTTCATGGTGGGACCTGTACGATACAGCTCCTTTTGTTAGATTCTGCTGGCGTCTTTTAGAATAACATCGGTTTTTTTCTTTTCAACACATTTTGGTGTAGTACATGTGATTTCTATGGCAATATTAATCTCTCTTCCATCTATGATCTGATTAAACAAACTGAACGATCGCTTGCATATTTTTAACTAAGGAGTCATTTCCCTTTAAAATTTCACAACTCGAAGCTCCAAATGATGATGTAATTCATACTGAAATCTTTTTATTTACGCAGCACTGCTACAAAATAAAAAGTAACCCTTCCTCTCTGGCAGTATGTCTAAATACAGATTTCATGTCGTCACCGAGAGGCTGGTTATTTACCAAGCAAGAAAATTCATCATTAAACTGACCTGGGTAGTCTGATCTAATTTACTTAGGAGAGCATACGCAGTGGTGGATGCTGCATCTGCCTTTGGTTTGCGGGGGGAACCGCAATTAGGGATGCTCTTTGTAACGGTACTTTCCATCTCTGGTGCTGTGTAACAGATCCATACAGCTGGGGAAATGGAAAAGTGCTTTCACATACAAAAGGTAAATAAACTTCAAAATAATAATAAATTGGGTATCGCAACCTTAATTTAATTTCCTTCCATTTATAAGTTATGAAATATTTGACTGAGAAGGATAAAATATCGGCAAAACAAATAAAATACCCGTTCCCAGTGAAACGTTTTCAGAAATGTATTTTGCCCTTTACTTCTGAAGTTGGAAATTGTTTTCCCTTGTCTATTCAATCCCAAAATCGTTACCTTCAATCGATAATTCCAGTGGGAGTTTTGAAATGGAAGGCTGCTGAAAAACCTGTGCCTGCCTTACCTCTCTGGGTGCTCCCTCGGCCGGGGCGGGTGCTGGTGGTGCTGGGTGCCCCGGGAGTGGTGATGGATGCGGCCCGTTCCAGCCTGGAGCGGGAGCCCTGCAGCTGCCCCCGCCATGGCACCGGGGGCTCTGCGGCCGGTGGCAGGTTGGGTCCTTGCTTGTGCCTTTCGGCTCCTCCTTTATCTGAGCTCCCAAAGAATCCTGACCTAAAACAAACACGGCCGCAGGGAAAAGGAGAGAAACGTCCTTGGTGAGATTTCTTTGGACTCCCCCAAGCAGTTCAAAGATCGGGCTGTCCTGGGGAGAGCACGGCTAGGGAAACAGGGGCTTTTGGTTACGTTTGGTTAGCAAATCACAGGGGAAATAATCGGCGCCCTTTATCTTTCTGTCGCTGTTTTACAAAATCCATATTTGCGCTATATGAAACATATGATGTAAATACTTTTTTGGCATGTCTTGGGAAAACTCATCCACATCCTGTCCTAAAACAGTTTAACAGAGACTCGAAGAGAATTTTAAAGGTAAAAGAATTTTTTAAATGACTGAAGTCTTTTCCATGTCCTAACTTTAAAAGAGAAAAAGAGACCAAAAAGTAGTGAAGGTGAGAGGATTTGAAGACGGGCCTAGCGGCTGCCTCAAGACTACAGGGATGTTCCTGTAATTTCATTGCTCTTGGATGGATGGAGAAGCAAGCTTATGCCAAAAAAGATTACTTTGTCTATCAAGGAATAAGGGTTACGAATGCCATCGCTTTGAGGAATCTTTTATTTCAAAGTACGCGATATATGCTTTAAGCCTACAAAGACTGAATAGAAACAGACTTCTTCCAAGCTTTCTGCCCACTGTTTTCATTCCTAATGTGCAGTACTTGTAGCCTGTCACATTGCGCGAGACCAATTTATTACCTGGTGGGTGACGTTATCTGATTTTCATTGTTGTGGCTCTCTTTGTTTCCTTTATTTCCCAACACTTGCAGAGATGTAAAGCTGAATTTCCAGTGGTGCTGTTTACACATTGACATCAAAGGGAACAGAATCAGCTCCCAAATATAACTGGTTTCTACTGTAAACTTTCCAGAGAGAAAAAAATAATTTCATTTACTGAACATGGAATGTCCATTGATTATTTAGTATGAATCAGGTCCCTTCTGGCTGACTTAGCTGCAGAAACCATCAAAACAGTCAGTTTGAGAGGAGACTGAAAATGCTCAGTGGGGTCAGATCCCCCCGAGGGAAGCCTTGGGGCTCCTTCCCAAGTGATGGCCCAGCCGGAGGCAGCCCGTGTCCCACCGGCAGGAAGGGGCTGGACTCACAGATCAAGACCCCTGGGTATATTCTATTCCCTTGGAGACATCATTTTCCCCTGAAATTGTTCTGTATCTATACCTTTGCACGTGTGGGGGTTTGTGCCTTCTACTGATTTTGCTTAAATTTAAATGTCTGTCTTCCAACAGGGAGGAGCTTCGGTCAGATTTGAAAGTTGGACTGATTTTCCTACGCTGATGCAAGTTGTACGGTTGTGTTGTTAGGCACTTGGCACTCCTGAGACTGCTAAAAGGAATGGCCTAACACCGGTTCTGATGTTTTTGAAGTAGTCTTCAGTAACAGAATCTGGGAGTCGATTTGTTGAGGTCCAATTCCTATGTAAAGGTTTCCTGTTCTTTAAAACATCCCTTCTTGCTCTGACAAATAGACAGGTTTTAAATTCAAAGGCCAAAGCCATTAAATGCCGTTCTGGGAAGCAGTGACAATATGTAAGAGAGGACTTACGGTCTAAATCTACTCCCTCCCGTGTTTAAATACTGGGTGATATTTGTAAAGTTGTAACTAAGTAAATAATACCATATCTCAAAGAAGGAAATATATGCACAGTCTCAATCACTGGTATCAAAATCAGTACAACTATTAGAATGAAGAATGTGGTGAATAATATTCAAATAACAAAATATATATTAAATAGCAGCATGGGTCCTGAGAAAAAATGGCAAATTTCTTAAGTAACCTAAACGGTAATTAAATCTCTTGCTGAATTACAGTCTTAAATACAGATATACAATTTCATCGGCTTAGTTTTATTTAGACCTAATTTAATTTGATAGTTGAAAGGGAAGTGTGCATTACACAACTGATGTCTGTGGTCCTGATCTTGCAATCAGATCCATATGTGAGGATAATTGATTTATACCTCTGGATAGAATCTACCAACATGGAAATTAGTGCAGGACTAAAGCCTAAACTACTAACATATAGCTCTCCGGAAGATGCAATGTTACCCTCAATTAAACGCATCAATAAAGCCCTGCAAGATGAAATTTATCACAAAATTATTGAAAATACAATTTTGTTATTGAACCCATAATGTAATCTATGTAATTCTAATCTAATTATGTGTAACACTGCAGAAAAAAATGTAAGTTAATGTTACATTATTGTACTAATTAATCAAAGCACAAAACTTTATCTGGTATTTTCATTGAAACTGTTAGCTAAAATCAGGTTGCAGATCTGTGGAAAATGGTTTATTCCAGTAAAATATGAGCAGCTGTAATAGTGTATGATATCTAGCTTCTGGAAACCAAACCAAACCAAACCAAACCAAACCAAACCAAACCAAACAGGCAGCAGTTAGGCCAGTCATAGCTCTCTAATTTTAAGAATTATACTACTTTTTGCAATATACTTGATTTTAATACAAGGTGCTGTATTGGGTGAAGAACACTTCACAGAATCGGAAAACACCCATTCTGTTACAGTTGCTCATCCATTTTCTCCCAGAAGCCAGGATTATTTTTCAGACTTCTGGTACTACCTAAGAATAACTTTGACAGGCTTGATTCTTACAGAGAGATGAGCTGTAAGATAATTATTTTGTGATAATTGGAAGATGTTTATTTCTCTTTGTGGGAAACTTGTTTTACTCAGTTTTCTTGTAAAAGGACTTGTGCATTTGCAAGAATAAAAAGTGTTCAATATAAGTTGGTACTGTCAAGGAAACAGGATAGCTCTACGGCATTTATAGTTTTGAATAATATCTGGTGTTAAACATGACATAGGCATTTGTAGCCACTAATAGCATGCAAAGCTCCTCAAAGAGAAATTGTTGGAAAAGCTTGTAGGGAACAGAGGGAGGAGGAAACCGAGCCGTTCACAAAGCACAGCAAGGCCAGTCCCATAATATTCCTTTAAAGTCAAAAAGAGACACTCGTCCAGGCTGAGCTTACATGGTAGAGTTGGCTCCCTGCGGCCTCCTTT